AGTCCTTGTATTTAGACTCCGAGGCCTGCATCAGATGCCAATATGTTCATAAAAACATAAAACAACTATCTGTGAAGAATTTCTGTATTACACAAAGTCCAGCTTCTATTTGTATTTTATTTATTTTTATTTCTTATCATCATCATCATTGTTGTGTATGTATGTATGTAGAGGTGCCCTCATGCTATAGTGAACATGTGAATATCAGAAGACAAGCTTCAGGAACTAGTTCTTATCTTCAGCTTAGGGTAGTGTTTATTATTTCTGTTGGTATACAATGTAGTCCTGCCCTGCTGGCCAATGAGCCTCACTGACTTATGAGTGCTTAAAAATTCTTCTGTTTCCACCTTAAATTTAATTGTAGGACAGCTGATATTTTAGATGCATGTTATACTACATCTGACCTTTTTATATTGTCTAAACATCAATCTTAGATCACAAGATTTGCAAGAAAAATCCTTTTACCTGTTGAGCCATCCCATTAGCTCCAGCATATTCAACTCATCTAATAGTGCATATAGGGTTGAGTGTTAAAAATAACTCTTTATCTTAAAGAATACTCTTCTCACAGAGGAAATACAGAGAATCATCAGGTCATACTTCAAAAACTTGTACTCCACAAAATTGAAAATTTTAAAGGAAATGGACAATTTTCTGGATAAATATCACTTACCAAAATTAAATAAAGACCAGATAACCAAATTAAATAGATCTATAACTGCTAAGAAAATAGAAACTGTCATTAAAATCTCCCAACCCAAAAAAGAAAGAAAGAAAGAAAGAAAGAAAACAGGAGCAGATGGTTTCAGCTCAGAATTCTACAAGATTTTCAAAGAAGAACTAATACCAATAATTGTTCCACATAATAGAAACAGAAGAAATATTGCCAAACTCTTTTGATGAGGCTACAATTACCCTAATACTAAAACCACACAAATACATTACTAATAAGAGAATTACAGAACAATCTCAATAAAATACTAGCAAACTGAATATAACAGAAAAATTATCTATCATGACTAATTAGGCTTCATCCTAGAGATGCAGGGATGGGTCAACATACAAAATAATCCAATATATAAACAAACTGTAAATAAAACACATGATTATCTGATCAGATGCTCAAAAAAAAACTTTGACAAAATACAGCATCACTTCATGATAAACGTCAAGGAGAGAGTAGGGATACAAAAAACATACCTAAACATAATCAAGGCAATATATAACAAACTAACAGCCGACATCAAATGAAATGAAGAAAAACTCAAAGCAATGCTACTGAAACCAGGAACAAGACAAGGTTGTCTACTCTCTCCATATCTATTCAATATAGTACTTGAGGTTCTAATTAGAGCAATAAGACAACAAAAGGAGATCAAGGGGATACAAATCAAAAAAGAAGAAGTCAGACTATCACTATTGGATGATGATGTGATAGTTTACATAAGTAATCCCAAAAATTCTAGCAAGGAACTTCTACATTTCATAAACACCTTCAGTAATGTAGCAGGATACAAGATTTACTCAAAAAATTAGTAACCCTCCTTTATACAGATGATAAATGTGCTGAGAAAAACATGACTCTTCATAATAGCTACAAATAGCATAAAATATTTTGGAGTAACTCTAACCAAACAAGTGAAAGACCTATATGACAAAAACTTTAAGTCTTTGAAGAAGAAAATTAAACAAGACACCAGAAACTATAAAGATCTCCCATGCTGTTTGGTAGGTGAAATTAGAATAGTAAAAATGGCAATCTTACCAAAAGCAAACTATAGCTTCAATGCAATGCCCATCAAATCTGAGCAAAATTCTTCATAGAGCTCAAAAAGGAACATTCAACTTTATATGGAAAAGTAAAAAACCTAGGATAGCCAAAACAATCTTGTAAAATAAATTTCTGGAGGCATCATAATCCCTGACTTCAAACTACTACAGAACTACTGAAAACAATCTGATATTAGCATAAAACAGACAAGAGAACCAATGAAACAAAATTGAAGATTTGGATATCATTCTACACACCTATGAAAATATCAAATGCAAAAATAAAGCATATTCAACAAATGTTGCTGTCACAACTGGATATCAACATGAAAAAGAATGAAAATAGACCCATATCTATCAGCATGCACAAAACTCAAGTCCAATTGGATTAAAGACCTCAATATCAGTCTGAGCACACTGAACCTGATAGAAGAGAGCATTAAAAAGGCCCTGATGACCCTGTCTTGACTAGACCTAGATGCTAAAGACCTTAGTGAATGTTGAGAGAGCAGTTCAAAGAGTGTTGAGTTCTTATACTATTTCTTGGCACTACTGTTCAGGACACCATAGACTGAGCCTAAAATAGCAGGTATTTCTTGAATTTTAGTTTTATAAACTAGAAGTATGAAACAAGAATTTTACTAGGCTCACATTCTTATTGCAAGATCTGAGGAAATGATTTTTCTTCTTACTGCTAACATCTGGTGATTACAGTCCACTGTTGTTATCATGTGGCTTATAGAAACTTCCTAAAAACTTCTGCTATGGTGCCATTCGATCCTCTTTCTTTTCGTTCTGTATGTTACAGTTTCCCTTTTCTTTTGAGAAAAATCAGTCATACTAGATTTAGAGCTTCATAACCGCATTTCTTTAGTTACATATTTAAAGGGCGTTATTTGTAAATACCACATTTTAGGATTCTAGGTAGACAAACACTTGGGAGAACTAAAGCTGAGACAGTCAGTTGAGCTTGGCACTCTAGTCTCACTGCTCCAGTTGATCACCATGACTGGCTGTGCTTGTTGGTATATGAGTGGGAGAAATTCATTTCCACTAAGAAACCAAATAATATTTATTTCATAAAAAAAAAACTTCCTTTGAGGTCATACTCACTTTGATACTAGGACATCTGTTATATCTCAATTTTCTCTACAAAAGTTTCAGCGAAATCCCACTTTAAGCTTATATTTTCAACAAATAATAAATATGATCATAACAAAAAACAAGTAGTCTATGTAAAGTGACAACCAAATAATCATAGAAGTTGTGGATTATATAAACTAGAATCAAAAAAGTCTAGAGAGAAATTATATTCATGACCCTGTGAATAGACTCATCAAATTAATCAAATTATATGCATTTCATAATGAATTTGCTCATGTGGAATTTTATATATCTGTTTTAACAGTTGTGTAAGACTTTTCAGCTAAGATGAGGTTAATAAAAGGTTATGTTTCCTCTAGAACAAACATGCTTTGAAATACAGTTAAAAGTATAAACTTAAAACTAGCTTTAAAACATCTATATACAAGAATTTTTTAAATTATGTATTTCATTTTTTGAGATTATAATAAAATTACATTATTTCACCCTTCCCTTTTCTTTCTCCAGAAATACCCCTGAACTGCGACTTTCTCTTTTTCAAATTCCAGACTTCTTTTTTCACCAATGGTTTTATGCATACATATTTATATACATATAAAACATACATATGTTTGTATATATATATATCTTTGTATGTATATATAAAACATGTTTCGCCTGTGAAGAAAAGATTTCTGTCTATCGAATTTGAGTTCATACTTACAGTGCTAAATAACTAAGATCAAACAATTAGTATTTGATCTTTTGAATATTGTAAAATGGATTTATGTCAAATACAAACAAAATTAAATTATAGTTAGGCTTTTCCATCATGAAATATACATATATGTGTTTATATACATCTGACATATTTTACATTACAAAATGAAGGCTTTTGCCCTTTGAAATTATTAAAAATAAGTGACTTAGTCTTCGCATGACTTAGACTGAATCTAACCAATACCTAGTTCAGTGTCATACAGACAGCAGAGGGCATTGCTTTTGGTTGTAAAGCTGTAATATCTCTCTAGTTCATCTAGTAAACATAGAGATGCCAGCTAATGAAACAAGTACCAATAACTGTCCAGTGTTTCTGTAGTCCTTGGCACAGAAATGATAAGGATATGTTGGGTCATGAAAGGAAAGCACGAAAAATCACGGTGTGGTAGGCATGTAGCCCTTGAGAATATAACAGATATTGTAATTGTTTTCAATTTCACATTCTCAACATAAATGAATTGCATTACTGAACTAAACAAGTAGTTATTTTCCAGTGCTGATCTTGATATTAGATGTTATATCTGAAAGAGTTAACCACTGTTTCTTAATCTTTTCTTTATTAAGAGATGTTACAGAATTCAAGAGAAAATTGGATTCCATTTGGAATGTTTAATATTTTTTTTTTACCATGGAAGTGAGTAATTGAGAATAGTAGAGAAACAGAACACTTAAGAAAAATGAAAATGAATTTAAAATGGCTATATTTTTAAATTTAAAATAATGATATGTTTGCTTACTCCCAAAGAGAAATATTTAAACAGCAACAATTTAAATATTAGCTCAAGTGTTTAGTCAGTTTATCCCTTAACATGTCAGCAAAGGCCTTTTAGCTCTAGGTACCATCTTTGAAAAATGAATAAAGTTTTCATATTAGGTCTCTACTTAAAATTTTACAATTATATCTCTCATCAATAACAGTTGTCTTACTTTACCAATTGTGGTTTGACTTACAGTAGTTTTCTTTAAAATTTTGATATAATAGCTGCATATTGTAACATAGATACCATCTGTATACATAACTCATCCCACAATGGCCACACACACATCAGCTTCCACATATCCTGTGTATATTTACTCTGTATGATTCTCACAGCAGGACAATAAAAGAAGAATAATATAGAATAAATAGACTTGAGTATATCAAGGACAGCATCAATGTATTTATCAAAAATAGGTACTGATAAAATGAATGTAACTAAATTTAATTTTTCTTGGTCACATACTAACTTTTTTTTGGGGGGGTGGGACACTTTTTTCACAGAGCTGTCATACACAGTGTGACTGTTCTCAGAAGCAGGCATGGGAAACCAGACACCCAACTACAGAAGAAAGCGGGGGCTTAGCCTGATAGCTTTAATGTCTTTGAATCAAGTGCCTTTTCCAGAATAGGCCAAGGAAGACAAGTCCAGTTTGGTATTTAAGGCTTCAGTCAGCTCTCTGGCCAGCAGCTCATGCAGGGACATGCCGTCATGGGAGTACACCAAGTTCTTCCCAGTCCAGTCATAGCGCTTAGGGCCACTGGAGGGAGAAGATAACCAGATTTGCTTGTTTGGGGTCTGCTTGTTGATCACGTAGGTCCCTAGATCCCCGCCCAGTTTAATGGTTCGCACGCCGCCCCCAAAAGAGACGTCATAGTCCTCCAGGGTACAGGGCTTGTCTGCAAGGTCTTCAAAGAACTCTGCCAGGGCGTCCAGCGTCTCCTCTGCAAGTCTTTCATAAGCTGTCTCGTCTAGAGAGCTTGGATTGTTCAAAGTTCCCGAGTTCCTCAAATGCACCATGCGGACACTCTGCTTTTTGATGTTCAGAATCTTATTGAGGTAGTGGAGGTTCAAATTTGAGTGGCGGATGGCGGAGGCCAAGCTGATCGTGACCTGCAGGCCTCGGTGGCCGCACGCTCCGATAGGCTCCCTCCAGCACGGGATCCAGACGGAGACCAAGGCCCGGGACGCCGTCCGGGGCAGCAGGCCCGCGACTGCGCGCCGTCCGAGCGCCCACATACCGCCCTAACTTTTATATTTTAAACATTATTGCCTTTATTGTTTGAGATTATAATATAATTGATTTATCCCTTCCCTTGCTCCTTCAAAACCCTCTAATATACACCTCCTTCATAAATATAACACATAAAAACAAATTATTTAGATGTTATAATGCAATTGGTATGTATATTTTCAGGATTGACCATTTGGTATTAGATAATCAATTAATGAATGGTTCCAGGGAATGGTTTTTTCTCCTTCTCAACATTTCTTAGTTGTTAGTAGGTTTGAACTTTATGTATGTGTATGTATAAGCATGTGTTATATGATTTGTTTGTGTGTATGTGTGTATTTATGCATGATATGTCTTTGAATGTCTGTGTGTATATGTGCATATATGTGTGGGGGAGTATGTGTATGGTTTGTGTGCATGTATGTTTATTGTGTGTATGTATGTTTAGTGTATTTGTATTTCGGAGTGTGTATACTTGTGATGTGTTTGCATGAATGTATGTGTAGAGTAAGTGTATGTATATTGTGTGTATTTGGTGTATGTATATCTATGTGTGTGTATGTGGTATGTTTACCTGAATGTGTGTGATATGTCTGTGTGTCTTTGCATATGTAAATATGTGTGTGTTGTGTATTGTATATTAGTGTATATGTGGTTTATGAGTGTACTATGTGTGCATATATGTCTGTTTTGCACATCTGTAAATGTGTGTGTGTGTGTGTGTGTGTGTGTGTGCATATGAGTACTGGTACCCACAGAGGCTATAGGTACAGGAACTCTCTCAAAATGAGTACTGGGAAAAAGTTCAGTTCCTCTGCAGGAGAAGGAATTGAGCTAAACTCCTGACGAATCTTTCCCGCATCTTAGACTTTGAAATTTAACCTATACTTTTGCAATAAGAAGGGATTTGACAGACAAAAACTTGCCTTGATCCTAAATTCTTATCATTCTCTTTGAGAAATATACATTCATTTTTGTTCACAATAATGTCAAAACATGGTCTGGTTTACACCTTATTCTTAAAATAAAGGTGCAGTTCAGTCTGGTACAAAACACACCTTCCTTTTGTGTTGTGTGTAGAGATTTGGCAGTTCCCAACACACAGAAGCTCCTTCCAACAATGAATGTGTTGGCATAAACATAACTGTATGCATTCTTTATATTTCAAAGTAGGCCTTGTTTTAATCTCCAAACAGAAGTGAGCGGGGCTGGAGAGATGGCTCAGTGGTTAAGAGCATTGCCTGCTCTTCCAAAGGTCCTGAGTTCAATTCCCGGCAACCACATGGTGGCTCACAACCATCTGTAACGAGGTCTGGTGCCCTCTTCTGGCATGCAGACATACACACAGACAGAATATTGTATACATAATAAATAAATAAATAAATATTTAAAAAAAAAGAATTAAAACAAACAGAAGTGAGCTTGCCAGTCCCACAAGAGAGGTGAAGTTTCTAGGCATAGATACAATATTTCACTTTAAAAATTAATGACATCCTTCCAGAAGAGTTCACAGGCCTCTCTGGGATACTAAACATTTTTAATAGGCTTGAGGTTAAAGTAAAGAGGTCTAAAATTACATTTTTGCCATTTTTTGCCTATCCTAATTCAAGCATCTCCATCTCTTGTACTCCTCAGAAAAGTAGTTCTTCTCAGTATGTATAAATATTAATAGATTATCTTAAATGGTGTGGACAGAAGATATTCAGTTTCCAATCATATGCACCTTTGTTGTCTTTCCATAGTAGGGACTGTTTAACTCAACACTATACCATAGCCAGATATCCTCAGGATTCAAATTCTTTTTGAGAGATAGGCTAAGGTATCTCTTTCAGAAAAGTTAATAGATTATGAAATCTAAATTAAAATTTGCTTGCAGATATAATCTAATGGTATTTATTTAATTATTTTTGCATGAAATTGGGTCAAATCAGAATAAAGATCTATAGTCAAACATTAACAAAAACTGAATAAATTTATGATTTAATTTATTTACTAGTTGGTTAGTATACACCAGACACAGTCCACAGTGCTTTGATAGAGTGCCATATTCATCTCTCTTGCTCCTGAAAGAGGTATCATTGTTATCCTTAGTAGACAAGTTAAAAACATGATTGCACTGACCTTTTTAAACTAATATATTATACAACAATAAATGAACACAAAAAATCCATATCTAAGGCACTTATGATGACAAATGCTGTATTTTCACATTAAAATTCCACTGCAAATTTGGATAGATTTTTTTTATTGATTTTTTGTTGAGCTCTATATTTTCCTCTGCTCCCCTCCCTGTTTCTTCCCTTCTCCCTCCAACCCTCCCCTCAAGGTCCTCATGCTCTCAATTTACTCAGGAGATCTTGTCTTTTTCTATTTTCTACTTCTCATGTAGATTAGACCTATGTAAGTCTCTCTGTTTTTTCATTGTTGTCTAAGTTTTCTGGGATTGTGGTTTGTAGTCTGGTTTTCTTTGCTTTATGTTTAAAAACCACCTATGAGTGAGAACATGTGATAATTGTCTTTGTGTGTTTGGGTTACCTTACTCAAAATAATGTTTTCTAGCGCCATTCATTTTCCTGCTAAATTCAAGATGTTGCTATTTTTTTCTACTGTGTAGTACTCCATTGTGTAAATGTACTACATTTTTCTTGTCCATTCTTCATTTGAAGGACATTTAGGTTGTTTCCAGGTTCTGGCTATAAGAAACAATGCTGCTATGAACATACTTGAGCACATGTCTTTGTGGCACGGTTGAGCATCCTTTGGATATATACCCAAAAGTGGTATTACCGGGCCTTGAGGAAGGTTGTTTTCCAATTTTCTAAGAAATTGCCACACTGATATTCAATGGGACTGTACCAGCTTACATTCCCACAGTAATGCAGAAGTGTTCCCTTTTCCATGCAACCCCTCCAGCATAAATTGTCATCAGTGTTTTTGTTTTTGGCCATTCTTACTGGTGTAAGATGGAATCTCAGAGTTGTTTTGATTTTCATTTCTCTGATGACTAAGGACATTGAACATTTCCTTAAGTATCTTTCAGCCATTTTAGATTCCTTTGTTGAGAGTTTTCTGTTTAGGTCTGTACTCCATTTTTTATTGGATTATGTGTTCTTTTGATAAACAACTTCCAGAGTTCTTTGTAGATTGTGAAGATCAGACTTCTGTCTGATGTGGGGTTAGTGAAGATCTTTTCTAACTCTGTAGGCTGTTGTTTTGTCTTGTTGACTGTGTCCTTGGCTTTACAGAAGCTTTTCAGTTTCAGGAGTTTCCATTTATTAATTGTTTCTCTCAGTGTCTGTGCTGCTGGGGTTATATTTAGGAAGTGGTCTCCTATACCAATGTGTTCAAGTGTACTTTCCACTTTCTCTTCTATAAGTTTCAGTGTGGCTGACTTTATGTTGAGGTCTTTGATCCATTTTGACTTGAGTTTGGTGCATGGTGATAGATATGGGTCTATTTTCATTCTTCTACCTGTTGAAATCCAGTTATGACAGCACCATTTGTTAAATATGCTTTCTTTTTTACATTTGATATTTTTTGCTTCTTTGTCAAAAAATCAGGTGTTCGAAGCAGTATGGATTAATATCCAGGTCTCCTATTCGGTTCCATGGTCCCCCTGTCTGTTCTTATGCCAATATCAGGCTGTTTTCAGTACTGTAGCTCTGTAGTCGAGTTTGAAGTATGGGAATGTGATGCCTCCAGAAGTTCTTTTATTGTACAGGATTGTTTTGGCTATCCTGGATTTTTTGCTTTTCCATATGAAGTTGAGTGCTGTTCTTTCAAGGTCTTTGAAGAATTTTGCTGGGATTTTGATGGGCATTGCATTGAATCTGTAGATTGCTTTTGGTAAGACTGCCATTTTTACTATGTTAATTCTGCCTACCCAAGAGTATGGGAGATTTTCCCACTTTCTTGTGTCTTCTTCAATTTTTTTCTTCAAAGATTTAAAGTTCTTGTCATACAAATATTCCACTTGTTTGGTTAAAGTTACTCCGAGATATTTTATGCTATTTTTGGTTATTGTGAAAGATGTTGTTTCTATGATTTCTTTCCAAGCCCTTTTATCATCTGTATACAAGAGGGCTACTGATTTTTTTTTTTTTGAGTTAAGCTTGTATCCTGCTTCATTACTGAAAGAGTTTATGAGTCATAAAAGTTTCTTGATAGAATTTTTGGGATCACTTAAGTGATCATCACTTAAGTGATATCATCAGCAAATAGTTTGACTTCTTTTTTTTTTTTTTCAATTTGTATCCTCATGATCTCCTTTTGGTGTCTTATTGCTCTAGCTAGGACCTCAAAAACTATATTGAATAGATATAGAGAGAGTAGAAAACCTTGTCTTCTTTCTGATTTCAGTGGAATTGCAGGGAGTTTCTCTCCATTTAGTTTGATGCTGGCTGTTGGCTTGCTGTATATTGCCTTTATTATGTTTAGGTATGTTCCTTGTATCCCTGATCTCTCCAAGACATTTTTTTTTTGGTTGGGAGACTTTTTTTTTTTATTGAGAATAGGAAAAGAAAAAGTTTCCGCCTCCTCCCAGCCTCCCATTTCCCCCCCCTCCCCCACTCTTCTCCCCCTCCCCCCTCTCTTCTCCCCCTACCCCCACTCCTCTCCCCCTCCTTCTCCAATCCAAAGAGCAGTCATGGTTCCCTGCCCTGTGGAAAGTCCAAGGTCCTGGAGCCTAGCCAGTTTGGATGTTCACCTTCCTAGACATGGTTGGGAGACTTTTTGATGACTGTTTCTATTTTTTCAGCCATTATATGGTTAATTTGCTTATCTGGTCTTGATTTAATTTTGGTAAGTGGTATTTTTCCAGAACATTATTCATTTCCTTTAATTTTTACAAGTTTGTGAAGTACAAGTTTTTGTAATATGACCTGATGATTCTCTGTATTCCCTTTATGTCTGTTGTTATGTCCCCCTTTTAATTTCTGATTTTGTTAATTTGGATATTCTCTCTCTGTCTTTTGGTTAGTTTGGATAAAGGTCTATTTTGCTGATT